CGAATTGGGACTCTGATTCCTCATAAGAGGATACGTAGGCATACGACTTAAAAATTGTGGCAAGTTCCCTTAATAAAAATTAAAACCCTATTTCCTAAAAATTGCAATTCTAAACCCCAGTATCCTTGTGAACAAGGTAGACTAGGGGTGTCTAACACCTTCCCTTCCTCTAAGACCGAGTCCAACAACTTAGAATCTATGAATAAATTAGGGTTATCATTTATATTCTCTTCTCAAAGATAAAAATTAAGGGTGGTGTCTCTATATTTTTTGCCGGTTATTACAACCATGTTAGTAGACTTTAAACCAGCTAGTACTAAATAAGCTCTTAAGAAGAAAGTGTGGCTTAAGGTAATGAAATAATAACTTGAAGCTATAGAAATAAATAAACTTGGGAGTTGATTGAGCTTCCAAATGAGAAGAAAGCCATCAGTGTCCGATGGATTTTTAAGATAAATTTGAAGTCAGACGGATCAATTGGAAAATACAAATCAAGGTTAGTAGCTAGAGAATTTCTACAGAAATCTGGATTAGATTACTTTGAGGTGTATGTGCATGTAGCTATACATGAAATAATCAGATTGATGATTGTTGTAGCTGCTAATAGAAATTGGCCTATGATGCATTTAGATGTGAAATTTGCATTTCTTATTGGTCCATTACAAGAAGAAGTATATGTGTCACAACCGCCTAGATTTATGAAAAATAATTAGGAAGGAATGATGTATAAGTTGCATAAATCCTTGTATGGACTAAAACAAGCTCCTAAAGCTTGGAATATGAAAATTGATTCATTTTCAAGCTTCAAGGATTCAGGAAATATGAAATGGAATATGGGGTTAATATTCAGCATACTTCTAAAAGCAGTATAATTCTGGTGGGTCTCTATGTTGATGACATATTGCTAACCGAGATTTGTTCATATGAGATAGTCAAGTTCAAAAAGGTGTTGATGAATGAGTTTGAGATGACCACTACTATAAAACGCGCAAACAACAACGCCTAATTCACGACGGTTCTTCCAACACTGTGGTGACATCTCTAAACCCACGGCGCTAACATTTTATTTTATTTTTTTATTAAAAAAATTTAACATATAATAACGGTTGCAACCATAACCGTAGTTATAGAATCCAAGATTTCTTGGATTAAAAATTCAATGCCCTCAAATATATTATTCATTTAACGTTAAGGCGTATCTTTTCTATTTTATTTATTTTTATATATAAAATAAAGGATTATGACCATGGGTAGAAACTTCAACTGTTGTGAGTATATTTATATATAAGCGAATTAACTCTCACTCTTTCACAGTAGCGCCGTATCTATCACAACAAAACCCTAGAACCCATTTTTCTCTTCTTTTTCATCATTAGCATTTCTATTCTACAGTATAGCCGTCAATGTTGTTCTTCTTACATAAAATTATTCTTCTTTTTTCTTAAATTCCTCTCGTTTTCATGTATGTTAATGTTATGTTTCACTTGGTTTTCCTATGAATTTGTTCTTTTAAGATAGTTTATGGATATTTTATTGTTGTATGTTGTTCTATGTTGTTGTTTCATATTGTGTTGTTGATAAATAAGTTTCTGATTTCACATATTGATAATTTTCACGGTATTTTTAAGACTCAAGAAAAGTGAATGAAGAAACAACAACAATAACAAACTTCATCTAGTTTTAGAAGCTATGAAAATAAATATAAGAAGTATGAAGCTATTGTGTTCACTTCATCCACCTTATTTTTTTCATGGCTTCACAAACTAGATAAATCTCATATAGTGATGATGATGGTGGTAGCAAGCATATAGTACGAGTTGATAAATGGTTTTTTATGTGCAGCTAACAAGTGGTTATGGTTCTTTACTTATCAGTTAAAGCTTCAAGAAATAGTTAATTGTTCAATTCTCTCAATCTATGTACATTAATTCAATGTTTTTGTTGATAAATATTATTAGTGATTTTGTTATATAATATGTGATTGCTTGTTTCATTAACTCCTTATTAAACTTGCATTCATTTAAAAAGATTTTTAAGATAATAATTTTAAAAATTAAGTTATTCTTAAAAATCAACTTAGTTGATCCAATGTTTTTTGAATTGCATGCATCTTGTAAATCATAATTCTCTTTTTAGCATATAGAATTTCATTCAATATCACAAATTCTTCAAAACAAAGTTGATAAATGAATGTCAGTCTGGATCTTTCATACAAATCTTGATGTTTGAAAAATAAAGTAGAAAAGAAGAGGAAATCAAATTTTATGTGAAAGACTCAGACTGACATCTATTTATCAATATTACTTTTAAAGAATTTGGGATTGAATCAAATCCTATAGACTAAAAGAGAAAATCATGATTTACAGGATGCTTGCAATTTGAAAAATATTGGATCTTTTAAGTTGTTTTTTAAGAATAACTTAATTTTTCTGATTATTGTCTCAAAAATCTATTTGAATGATTGTATATGGTTAATGAGGGGCAGGAAAAAACAAGCAATCCCATATTTTATAATAAACTCTTACATATACCACAATAGTTGGAACGTATATCCGTGGTAAAATGCTATTTTTATGCGCTTTAATTTTGGTTGTAGTTGGGTATCAAACCCATGTCAGTATAAGTATTATAACTGTTGTTTACGTCAACCGTTGTGATATACATTTTACCACAATGGTTCCTGAACCCGTGATTGTAAGTACCACATATACAACCATATTCTACACAATAACGCTTGGAATCGCGTGATTATATGTATTTTCCAATCGTTGTTAAATGAGTTTTCTGTAGTAGTGGACTGATATAGGAAATATGGTAATATTTTCTAGGGATGAAGATTATGTACTTTAAGAATGGTATAATTTTGCATCAGTTGAAGTATGAACTTGAGCTTCTAGAGATATCTGAGCTAACAAATTGCAAGACTCCAATCACCATTGCTGAAACAAATCACAAGCCAAATTCTAATGTTGATGGTGTTGATGTAGATGCTACAACTTTTAATCAGATGGTTGACTCATTGAGATATCTTTATAACACAAGATTTGACATTTCTTATGTAGTTGGAATGATGAGTAGATTTATGAACAAGTCAAAGTGATCACATGACCAAGTTGTTGTCAGGATACTGAGGTACATTAAACGGACTTTAAGGTATGGAATATTGTTCCCTTCTGGTGTTAAATCTGACTCAAAGTTGATATGCTATTCAAACTCTGATTGGTGTGGATACATAGTTGATAGAAGAAGTATTTCTGGATATTTTTTCAAGTATTTGGGAGGTCCTAATTCTTGGTGCTCAGAGAAGCAGCCATTGATTGCATTGTCAACCTGTGAAGTAGAGTATATTTCAGATGTTTTGTCTGCGTGTCAAGTTGTTTGGCTTATGAACTTATTGTTGGATCTGAAGATTATGGTGACCAAGCATGTGAGATTGATGATTGACAACAAATCAGCTATAAGCATTGCCAAGAATCTAGTGATGCATGAAAGGAGCAAGCATATTGACACGAATTATTATTTTTTGAGGAATCGAGTTCAAAATTGAGCGCTAGTAGTTGTGTACTGTAGCACTCAAACAACTTACAGATGTTCTGACCAAAGCTATTAAGATTGAACACTTTATCTATTTGAGGGGTGAAATTGGTGTTGTTGATTTTAATTAGCTGAATATGAATTAAAGGATGGTGTTAGATATAATTCAAATTTAGTTTCATTTGCATTTCATTTGGTTATGCATTTTAGTTTTATTTCACTTGGGTGTTAGTATATAAATCCAATGTGAGTTTAATTTGTAATTGAACTCATAATTTCAATTTTGAGATAGAAGTTAGTTACACTCTCTTCTCTCTTTCTTCTTTCATCTTCATTTTCATTTTCATCTTCAACATTATGCACCAACATATCCATATTACTTTATATCGGTCTCTAAATATTAGCATCAAATTCATTAAAAAAAATATTCTTAAACATAAGTTCTTTTTTAAATTATTAAATATATTTATTATTTCAATTTTAATTAACCTTTAGTTAACAGAATTAAACTTATAAGTTAAAAATAGTTATATACACATATAAATAATATTTTAAATACATTTTGACCTTTAATTAACAGTACTAAATGTATTAAATTTAGAATTAAAAATAATTATATACACATTCTTAATAGAAAAATATAGAATATATTTATATTTAATAACACCCAAAGTAAAATAATTATAAAATTCACTTTTTATATACTACACTTTTTATATGAAATAGTCTATCCAAATTTTCATATGCATTAATGAGTTTTTAAAAACAATTATATCTCTATTAAATTTAAATTAAAAAAAAAAACAATTTTGTTTTTTCCCTCCTAGTATTATATATTGAAATAGTTCTGAAAAAATAACATAATTTTGAGAAATTTATCGCTGCATCATAAAAGCCTAACCTTGCATGTCCACTCTGTAGAGCCTAGTAACTTTTTTTTATTATTGTTGTGAAACCTAGTAATCTAGTGGAAATTACCAAGCTTGGTAAAAAAAATTTATTATTAAATGATTGGCTTGTAGAGCCTATCCCTGGAGTAAAATATCAAGCCAATCATTTGATAACAAATGACTTAAGAAACTTTGGTAATTTCCACACTAAATCCATCATGACAATTATTATAAGATTTAGATCATTAATCTTTCCATGTCCCAAGTTGGGAATGATGAAACCCATCAAGTAAATTAAGGAAACAAAATGACAAACAAGTACAATCTCTAGTTTAAGTAAAAAATTCACCCATGCCTAAAAAGTACACACAAACCCAACCAAAACAACAACACAAAAGAAACCCAGAAATCTTTGTAATTTCCCATGCTTCAAAACAAAACCATTAATATTAATAATAATAATAATAATAATAATAATAATAATAATAATCAACTACTACAACAACAACAACAAAACCATAGAAATTAATTTTCTTCAACCAAATAAATCAATTCATCTTCAACAAGAAAAATAAACAGGAGAAACCAACAAAAAAAAATGTATTTACAAGCATACCCTCACTCAATCATGTACTAGTATATCCATCTTGGCCAACCTTGCAAATCCATTCCACCATTTTGATTTTCCCTTCAAAATCTTTGAACAAAACCTCTCAACAATGGAAAAGTTATCAACCATTTCTCTGTGGCACTTGTCATTGCAAAGCTTAACCTCCATGATGATGAAAGTTACATTACACTGTTCGAGTGAGGAATATTGGAGAAGACTATGGGACACGCACATAACAAAGATCACTCACTCACATGAAAATGGATCTAGTCTAACATAACATAACATGATCCAAGAGATGTTAGTTACATTACATAATGACCCAAGAGAAGAAAACATGAAAGAATGTAAACTTTGTGTTACATAAAACAGTCGAAACAGAAGAATAAGGATTGTCCATTCTGTGCTTTGTGTGGTGAATCTGAATCTAAATGGAAAGAAAAAAGAGAGTTAAAGGAAAGAAAAAAAATGAATAATGAAGAGTCATGAAAATGAATCCATTATTATTTTGTAAATAATAGTACAGTGGTAATAAGTAGTAGTTAGATTTGTTAGATAGATGGAAAGCAACAAGAGAGAGAGAGAGAGAGAGATGATGTGAGTTGAGTGGCGTGGTTCGAATACAGAGAGGAAGGAAGGAGAGGAGGTTGCGTGTGGCCGACTTGAAAATATTATTGTTGCTTACGGCATCGACGTGTAGCAGTTGAAAAAGCTACCATTTCCTTTCTTCTCTTCCTTGTTTTTTTTATTATACTATGCTGTCATTCCCACACCTTCTTCTCTAAATAAGTTTAAGCGTTGTTTTTAACACATTTAAATGCATTTTAAGAACTGTCTTTTATTTGTTAGATACTAGTATAAGTATAGGACTGAATAATTGTGTCATCATTAATCAGTTATATATTCAATAAATTGGGACTGTGGTGAGAGACTTTCATAAGTTACTATAATAAATCTCTCACGTGAATAAGTGTGTTTTCCAACGGTTTATTTTTGTTTTAAAGTATTTAAGGGTGTTATTAATCCCAAAAAGATAATAATTTATGCTAAATATTGATGAAGAGTACAATGTTTTATGAATAGTAAAAAAAAAAAAAGTTTTTAACCCCTACAAAATAATTTTTCATACTTTTATCGCTCTCAAAAAGGTGTCTTAAATAATATGTAATTTTTAAGAAAATAATTAAATATATTGACTTTAATTATAAAATTAATATTATTTATTAAAATATCTCTATTAATTATAATTAATAAAATAATTGAATGAAATAAAAATTAATAAATAAAAATATAATAGTAAAAAATAATAATAAATGTTATATTAATATTATAAAAGAATAATTATTTTGAAATAGAGAAAAAATATGAACAAAACACATTTTATAATAGAGAAGAATAGTTTTTTTTTACGTGAGAGATCTATTAAAATACAATGAAACATTATATATACATTTTATATATTCTAGTATAGTTATGATGTGGGTCATGTTTAACTTGTTTAAGTAAAAAATATATGACAAAATTAAATTAAATAAATAAATAGTAGTAAAATATATAGAGGTATAATAGTATAAAATAATAATAAATATTACATTGATATTATCAAAGAATAATTATTTTGAAATAGAAAAAAATATAAATGAAATACTTTTATGAATCAAATGGAGTAGATTTTTACATGAAAGACCTGTTAAAATTCAATCTAAACCTTTGAGACATTATATATACATTTTATATATTCTAGTTTAATTATGATGTGTGTCATGTTTGACTTGTTAAAGGAGAAGTATATGACAAAACTAAATTAAATAAAGAAATAGTAAAATACATAAAATAGTTTGATTGATTGATTAGATGTGTCCAAAATGATTTGTATATTTTAGTATTTATAGAGAGAATTATCTTAATGGCAATAGAACCCTAACATGTATAATTGATTGATTAGATGTGTCCAAAATGATTTGTATATTTTAGTATTTATAGAGAGAATTATCTTAATGGCAATAGAACCCTAACATATATAAATATTTATTCAACTATTTACGTAAATAATGTATGTGTTCCCTCTCTTTGGGATATATGGTACCTTATGTTCAATTCAGTCTTCTTCATTTTGCGGTATGCTTTGTTGACTTTATCTCTAGCGTCAACTTCTTTTATATTGTGGTTGTATAATCTTCGCTATTTTTGGTTCGTAGAGTTATAAGCACGAAACATGGTAATAATGCCCAATTTTTTAGTTTTGATGAGTTTTAACCGAGTCTAAAAGTTTTAGCAAACATTATAGACCCTAATAGATTTGAGAAAAAGTTGATCGACTCATTTTCGGATATATTCATACTCATTTGGTTTAATAGCGAGTGAACGGAGTTCACATATATATTAATCATTTGTCTTGTCGATTCTGGCTAACATGTATTTGTTTTAGGTGTAAGTAAATTAAGTAGATTATTTTTTTGTTGTCGCGAAAAATAAAGTTGATTATTTTTAATTAACCAATTTTTTGTTTTTTTTCCTCTCAAGTCTATAAGAGTCTCATTTTTTGTGTGTTGGAGATATTTTTTCTTTGTGCCTAAAGATTGAGTCAATGTGTTATGCCATCTTCATCATCATATTTCTCATGAGAAATTGATGTTGCACTACAATTAACAATTAACTATTGGCTATGTGAATTTAGTGCTATTGAGATGGACCTTATCATCGAACAACATAGTTGATCTCCTAGGAGTGGACCACCTTGTCAATTAATAATGGAAGGGTGTGGATGTCTCTATAAAAGATGAGGGATGTGTTCGAGACATATTTTCTATAGTCTTTGTCAAATCGATCAAGTAATCGGTTCTTATGACTACCAATTATTTAAAATATCAATTTAATTTTTGTCCTAATTTTCAATATTTTCTGACATTCTAAGATATTACATCTTGAGACACTTTTCATTTGGACTTTTTAAAGTTAATTTCTTTCTATATTTCATTATCACTACTACGGAAAAGGAAATGCAACAACGGTTGAAAAAGATATATAATCACGTAGAATCAGACGTTGTTATGTAGTGTGTGATTATATATGTGTTACTTACAATCACAGTCCAATGATCGTGGTATTAAATTATCTATCACAACGGTTGACGTAAACAACTGTTCACTACAAGAAAATGCATACCCAGCCACGTGAAGTTGCCACGTGATTTTCATGTGGCTAAATAAAACCAGTTGCGACGTGAAAATCACGTGGCAACGTGTTTTAATAATATAAAACAGAAGCATTAAGTGTGTCAGTTACTTTTTCGTTTTAAAAAAAGTAGCGACGTGGGATTCACGTCGCTAATTAAAATGTCACAAAAATTAATTAAATCACAACTTCCAACACTGGCGTGTTCAGGTTTTGAAGGAAGAGAAAACAGTTGTAATTTTGTTGCGACGTGAAAATCACGTGGCAACGTTGCGGCGTGATTTTCACGTCGCTACTTGGTTTATGTAATTTATCAAAACGTTCCACAACGTTTCTGTTTGTCATTTCTTCATCTTCAACCTTCACTTCCTCTCCATACCCATTTTTTCTTCACCAAAAAATTCTCTTCTCCACACTAAAATTCCTACCATCTTCATACATTTTATAAGGTAATTTCAATTTCATGTTTTATATACTTTGTTAATAGCTTTTGATGTGTTATTTGAGTATAATTTTTTTTCAATTTTTCTTTGAATAGAGAAGGAGAATATAGAAGTGTAGATTGCAAAAAGGGACAAGAAGATTGAAGGAGTTACAAGATAAAAGGTATGTCTTGAATTTTTTTCTTCTGAATTTGATTAAATTGCATTGGGTTAAAATTGTTGAATTTGGGTTATATATATATTTTCTGTATTTGAGTTAAATGTTAGGTTTAATTATTTAGTTTAAAATAATTGTTAATTATTATTTTGTGATGAATGAGTTTAATTATTTTAGGAGTTTAAGTTTTTTTATTTTTAGGAGTTTATAAATTTTTAGTGTTTAAATTAAATTTTTAGGAGTTTAATAAGTTTTTAAATTTTTAGGAGTTTATAAAATTTAGGTGTTTAAATTAAATTTTAAGTGTTTAAAAATATTTTTAGGAGTTTATAAATTTTTAGTGTTTAAATTAAATTTTTAGGAGTTTAATAAGTTTTTAAATTTTTAGGAGTTTATAAAATTTAGGTGTTTAAATTAAATTTTAAGTGTTTAAAAATATTTTTAGGAGTTTATAAATATTGTTGAAAGCATATATTTATCTTTAATTGTATATGTTTAGGATTATTATTAAGTTGATTAATTAATATTTCTAATTAAATAGGTTTTGATTATATAAATTTGCAGTAAATGGAATATTATATGTATTATCGTAGTTGGATGTACGATAGACTATATCCAGGAAGACGCGCACTTAAACCCAATTTTATAGACGGAGTTAATGGTTTTATCGCGTGGACGTTTGCCCAGGAACGTTGTCGAAGTGAAGGAGGAGTTAGGTGTCCTTGTCTTAAATGTGGATGTAGATATATAATTAGTGACCCAGAGGAAATAACACGTCATTTGCATAGGAAAGGTTTCATTGAAAATTATTGGGTTTGGACGCATCATGGTGAAACACTGTCGAGTAATGTACCAGAGACTAGCAACACAGATGCTTCAAGTAGTCAACCAATTATGCAACCACCTATGGAATTTGAAGAAAACTTTAATCTGATAGGTGACATGGTGTTTCCAATGATTTCTGGTAAACAACCGCTAGTCTTCCAAACTATCGAATAAACTTACTGACTGTTATTCAATTCCTCTGGTAACTCGCAGGATCGAACAAGTATTCATGGTTGGTATTTAGAGTGTTGTGTAGGTGTTTGACTTATTTCGATTTCTCTCTTAAAGATCTAAAGGTGTAATCAAAATATATGTGCGCGAAACTAAATTGCATGAATAAAAGTTAATTGTAAAGACATGTAAAACTGCATAAAAGACAAGTAAATGGCTTCGAATTATAAAAACAGTTAATGTAAAAGATGCTCTGGAATGTAAAAGATTCGAAATATGAAGAAAGCGTTTAATGCAAGAAATCTGTAAAATGACTTTAAGTAAAAATAGGCGTTCGAAGGATAAAAACTTGAAGATAAAGACATGAAATGTATAACAGTTTCTGAAATGTAAAGTGTTTGAAATGTAAAGAAAGCATTTAAATGTAAGGCATCAATGAAAAGATTTCGAATAAAAAGACTTTAGATGCAAAAAAACTTGTAAATGGTATTGATACAAAGACAAAGGAGA